AAAAGCAATATAGGCTACTATAATTTACAGCTGGACAGCAGCCAGAGGCAAAACAGTACAATATTTATAAAGTGAAATATTGAATTTTCTGCATATAACTTGTACCTTAATTTATGTTTTGGGCTCCTCACCATCCTGTCTCCATTTTTTCTAGAAAATAAGTGTAGCCATTTTCATTTGTACATTTTAATGTGCTTTTTAATGCTTTCTACAGTGATATAATTAAATAATTTTTGTATAGAAAACATAAAAAATTAGTTGTCACCTCCAATGTTATTTTCTTTCTTTTTTTTCCCTTTGAGAGAAAAACAAAAAAACAAAAAGTGAAGAGCTTGTGCAAGAGAAGAGATTACAAAAAAAAAAAAGGTTCACCAGAAAAAGAAGTGTAATAAGCAGATTTGTCTTTTTCAGAAGTCCTCCTAAATTATTATTTTTAGGCCTTTTTTTTCTATTTGTCTCAGTCCTTTAGAATTGTTCACATATTTGTTAGGAAACTTTGCTAAACTGTACTGCATAATTTGCTGCTTCTATTTAAGGATGCTTAGCTTTTTTGTTGTTGTTGTTTAATTGAAAGATTGTAGCTTTCTTTTTTCTTTTTATCTAAAATACTCCTTTTTTCCTTTATGACACATGTCAGCTCTATTTCTCTCTTTTCTTTAACTCAGATTTATATCTTCTAATTTGTGGATCAAATGTAGTTCACTAGCCTACCATTGTAAATCTTTCACTGAGTTAGTCTGGGTTCATACTGAAGGAATGGAGAGAAAATTGTCTTTGTGCTTCTGATCTGGTGCAGCCTCTTTTTCCTCTAACAAACTTTTCCAAATATGCAGCAGAAAGCAGCAAATGTTTTTTGTCCAGGACTTGTTGCTTAGTTATTTCTCTCTTGATCAGTGTCTGTTACCAGATTCACCTGTATAATTGTTTCAAGCCTTCCCACCAAGATATTTCCAGTTATTTTTTCCTTGCATTTCATTCTCTTGTCCACGGGGTGCAAGTTCTCTGTAAGCATGCTGAATCCAAAAGTGAGACAATTAAATAGTTATGTTGGCAAATACATGTATTTTTCTCATTATCCTGAAGATGCAACACAAAGTGAACATCAAATGCAGAAAGAAATTAATGCAATTAGTATGTCGTTATTTCTTTATTTCAAATTTTTGAAATCTTTCTCACAGCACTGTTAAAATGCATCTCTGCTACAGCCAAGCCACTTCTTCAGTGAATAGAAAAATGTTATATATGACAAAGGACTCATGGAAAGTTTAATATCCAGTGAGATCAGCACAGAAAGGAACATTTTCTGCCTTCTAATAAATCTTGCAAGTCTCCATTAGTTATGTGGAAGCATATTCACTCTGTACAGAATGCGTTAGTTTGTTCTGGAGGCAATATTTCAAGAAGAATAAATTGTGGCAAGCCGGGTAGATTGCCAGGCTTTTCTGTTGTAATGAATCAAATGACTGGCCTGTGACTCTTGCAAGCAGAGATCAGGCGAGAGAGTGCCAAGGTTCAGGTGCCAGCAGCAGTCACTTCCTTTAGACAGCACTGCAAACCCCTGGGGACACCCTGTTAGGGTGCACAGAGCCTCAGCAGTTCCTAGTTTTCCAGTGCTGGCAGACTGTGGTATCTCACTGGCTGTTTTCTTGCTCTTCTTGATAATCCTGCCCATAAAGCACTCTAACAAGAGCTCAGGCTTTATGGATGAACTTGGCACAGCAAAACTAGAGAAACTTCACACAACTTATTTTTCTGAAGCTGCAACAGGCTGCTAGAAACTCAAAGCTGATCAAATAGCAAACGTTGAAATGCCATTTTAGTGAAGCTGCTCTTATGCTTGCAGCACTCATAAAAACTTTTATTCGTGCCACTTTTTGTTGACAAAGTAGACTGTGGGTCTTTTAACAAAATTGCTTTATTCCCACAGAGTTTATGTTTTTCATTAAAAAAAAAAAGAGATAATAATTTTCAAAAATGCTCTTCTAATTTTCTCAATTTCCTGGGCAATCTGTGTTAGCTATCTCTGCTTGAACAGATATATTGGTCCAGATGATCTCCAAAGGTGTCTTCCAACCTTAACTATTCTGTGATTCCATGAACTTCTACTCATAAATGGTTTAAATTTTTATATGCTTCTCTTCTGCTAGGAAAGGTGTTTTTGTGTGTGTGGGTTTTTTTGTTTGTTTGTTTTGTTTTGTTTTGTTTTGTTTTTTAATTTGCTATTTGTTTCAAATAGATCAGACACACTCAGAGGTCATTGGAATGCTTTTCCTGCAATCAGAAATGCTCCATTAAGTCATTTGTCACAGTGGAGATAATAGTAATCTCACTTAAGATCTTTCATCCTTATTCTGTCTTGTAACAAGCGGTGCTATTTAATTAGCATTTGAGGATTAAATTTTGAAATGTAATATTTAAATGCATTTAAATGACTTCATGGTCTAAGAAAGCAAACTCAGATGTTATATTAATATTAGTTAATGGCTTTTCATTTATGGATTGATGTAACGTAGCATAATCTTTTGATAAGAGTTGTTCCTCTAGAATTACTCCTCTATGAATTTAGTTCCTCTAAGGACCTTGATTAGAGTCTGTTTGATATGCAGTAAGAATAAAAATGGTCAAAATATTGTTCAAACATTGAACTTTCACAAAATAGCTTAATGCAATTACTTCTCTATTTGTAAAAGGAAACATTTTATTGTATGAGGGGTGCTCCAAAAGTAATGCCTCCTTTTTATAATTTTGGGCCATGAAATCAGAGGCAAATGTTGGTGATATGGCAGTAGAGGTTGAACCTTTACACCAATATTTTGTTGCCATGTGACAGATGGCAGCAGAGGGGCAGTCTGAGAAAATGGTGCCTGGCATGTAAAAGCATATGAAGCAAAAGGTGTGTCACTGAATTCCTTCAGGTGGAAATAATGGCACCCACTGACATTCATTCATGCTTCCTGAACAACTGTGAAGGCCAAACAGTGAATGTGAGCACAGTGAGGCCATGAGTACTGATGTGAAAGACAAGACATCTTTTAGTTGACCATGCACAGCTGTCACACCACAAAATGAAGAGCATTTTGATCAGTTCATCCAAACAAATTGGCAGTCAAAAATACACGTCAAAATTTGATCAAAGGTGACTAGGAAAAAAAAATAAGCTAATGCAATGATTTTCTTATTTTGTTGTCCAGTTTGTAAAAGAGCTCAGGAATTTTTGTTTACTGGGGGAAAAATAGTATTTACTACAGGAAAGAGAAGAAGAAGCAGATAATTGATGTCTTATCCCAGTCTCCAATGTTACTGGAAGACTGTCTCCAGAAGATTACTGTAGATCTGTAAAGATGCATACTCTGAATGTCACAAACTGAAGTACACAAAATGACTGAGAATTTCAGAGGCATGTAGTGAATTTTTAGGTGTTTTAGAAAGTAAAAGCATTTTCTATCTGAAAATATAATTAATTTAATATGTTTTGCTTTGTCACATGACTTCAACGTAACAGATTTTTATATACAAAGTACAGTATGGCTTACTGTTCAATTATCTGCACTTCTCTGTCACTGTGAGGTGACTTATCTCCGTTTCATTGCAGAATAAGAAATTCTGAATTATGCTGCCTTTACCACACATACATTTGCATTACTTTCAGGTGTGAAATTTCTTTTTGCAGCTATTCACTGTTGTTGCAACTTCGATTTATGGAAGCAGAAAAACACATATTAAAATACATTAAATTCCTATTGAGTACAATGAAGACAATCTTTCATGACTGAGGTTCTTTATCATTAATTAATATTGGATTACATATATCTGATATTGGAAACCTTTTTGTATGTTTTTGTTGTGTAAGTTTGAGATTTCAAAAGGCAGTGAGTTTTGAGGAAGCTCTTTCATGTATAACAACTTGTTCAGATAAACATTCTGACTGCCAAGTCTCTTGCTTTCTCTGAGAAAACGTTACTCCCACTTTATGCAAGATTTTTTTCCAGTAAATGGGATGTTTTACTGATATCTACAAAACTGAAGAATTGGGAGCCTGAAATGTAATATTTACCATTTTATAGGAGAAAACAACTGCTGTTTTCCCAAATTGATTTCCACTTTAGAAAATACATATTTCATATCTTGCATTGCGTGTGTTTGTCATTGACAGTGAAGTTCATCTGCCATACCTGACCCCACATGACCATCTGTCTGTTTTGGCTGGGCAATGATGCCTGTAGGCACAGAGCTGACCTTGGCCACTGGCATGCTATGACCAAGGTCACTAATCCAGCTGGAAGGCTTGCAGGAGTCATTCTACCTCGTGGAAAAAATTTGATGAATCCTTCCCCAGGAGCCGTCCTGCCAGACCAAAGAATTGGTGAGACTGCACCACCAGTAAATGAGGGGAACTCCTCTGAATGTCTCTGACTGCCTCCGAAAAGTGATAGATAAAAACAGAAATCTGTTTTGCTTTTTTTAAAATTTTTTAAATTTTTTTTAATTTTTTTTTACAGTGATAATTTTTAGTTGTTCATTTGAATACATCTAAAATACATTATTCATAACAAAGCCTTCCAGGGTATGGGATCTATAGAAATAGCTTAATTTAGTCAGTAAAATATACAGTATTAATGTGAATTGAATTTCTGAAGGAGAACTAATAAATGTTCTTTAAACGTTTTTCTATTCAAGTATGTAGAGACAATTGTGCTTGGGCTGAGCTAAAGCCCCAGCCAAATATTCACTCAGACTTCTTCTGTTCTTGCTGTTTTGAACAAAAAAATATAATTCTATTAAATCATTAAAAAAATAAAGCTTTTTATGTCATATATCTATTGTATAGGAACTGTTGAGTCACAGCCTGAACCACTGATTGATCACCTGTGGAAAGGATTGAGTCAGCCATGGGAGCACAGGTGAAGACAGTTCACCTGTGTGACTGCAAAGGGTGGAGCCCCTATGCTAGACCCCATTTAAAGGCTGACTGCCACTAGGAAAGAATCTCTTTCTGGAGATTTCTTTTCTGTGGAGTGTTTCCTATGAACCTAGATCTTTGGCTATAGGTGAGTATTCCTTTCCTGTTTATTTCTTTTCCTACTTTCACTATGATAATCATTCCAACTGTAATATCTACTAAAAGTCCTTTTTAACAAATGCTGCCTATAAGTGAGGTACAAATGGAGGCAATTATTTTACCATACTTATTTGTGAATGCAGTTTTAGAACGATGTGTCTTGGAACAGTTGTATCTTTTGAATCTCTGTGTGACTTTATAATCATTTCTGTATCTTGAATCCTTAATGTCTTTATAGGGGTTCTTTAGAACAGGACCCTTTTATGAAAAAATCGCCCTCATGATCTCCTCACTGATTTCTTCAGAACTATTTAATATCACTTTAAAAAAAAAAAACAAACAAACAAAAAAAAACCCTGGAGGATCTTATTTCAGAACAGGGTCCATCTATTCCTCTAGAATTCTTTGTTATTTTGGCCCATTTTCTCCCCATGTGAGTTAATTCCTCACCAGAATGGAAGTTTTCTGTATTCTGGCAGTTCCACTCAGAGATAAAGACAAAGGCAATTAAACAACTTCTGACTAAAGGAGGACTTTAACACAGGGAGAAGAAAATTCTAGTGGATACAGTGAAACACTGTAGAATATCTGTAGAATAATCTGTAGAATGCCCCTAACAGAAGGAAATTGAAAGTCTGTATCTCCTAGAGAGCTTAGTTGCTGCTGGACCTTCTATAAGAATTGGTACTGCTTTTTAAAGTCTTTAAATTCTTGCTGTTTTAATTATTTTGGCAGTTGGAAGAATTTTTTTTTTTTCAAAATTCAATTAGCTCTTCCATATGTCCAGATAAAGAAATGTTGTAAGTAGTGAGTTGCATTCTGAACTTCTCTAGTCAGAACTTAGGCAAAATACACTTTATCTGCCAAAACAGAAGGAACAGTAGAATTCCCCCTCATCTCTACTTTTTTTTAGACTCAGAGATATTCAGGAAGGATTACAGGTATTTGCAATCATCATAATTTACTACTTTTCTTATTTTTACTCTTCAAACCATGACATTATTGCAGTCATTTGACAAGGAAACAAAATAATCTTTTTCTGTTGTTCTTAAACTTATTTTTTTAAAGTTGTTTTTAAATTTTCTTAAAGAAAGAAGAAAATAAACACTAGATCCTCTAGATTGTTTATACCAAACATAACTTTTATAGAACTGAGGAAGAGTTACAGGGTGGAATGGTGAATGTTAAATCTGCAGTACGTCTAAGTTAAGGATAATGCTGGAGCAGGTTGTCATCGTACTGAGATCAATCTGTGGCCTTATTTCCCTGTCTGTATCATTGCTCTTAGAAAGCTCTGCAAATCTCTTTGTGCCCTTCCCTTGAGAGCAGAACAATCTCCTTCCTTCTCCTGCATGAGCTGGGGTCCTGTGGGCAGCTTCTCATGGCAGCACAGAGGTGTTGGGGAAAATGGCCTCAGTGAGCCACCCACACTGTGCTTCTCCACCTCAAGGACTATTGATGTGAAGGGGGGGAACTTTTCCCACATGAGATTAAGTAAAGTTTTGAATGCAACAAAGAAACTCAGCATCTTGTTTGAATGGAGCTTTGTCAGGTCTGGATATCCAAAGATGTGGCTGTGTAGGATGATATGGGGAAGTAGAGGGATTTTTATAGACCTCTTTGATGTAATACTGAGTACATTATTGAACCTGAAGTAATTAAAAAATGTCATAGTGTAGACTTTAATTATTTTTGAGTTCAAAAACATTCAGGCTTTTTTTCCTACTGAAAAAGCTTGCTGTATCACACTGCAGTTTTGTAATTTTATTTTAAACAATCTTTTCAATACAGCTATTGCTATTTTTTTTTTTTTTTACTTTAAGAAAAATGTTTTGGAAAAAGAAAAATGCTGAATAACATACTGTAGTGATCCTTTTTTTCTCCTAACAAAGTGAATGGAGACAGCAGTAAAGGTGAGTTTTATTCTCATTCTGGACAGAATTCATACAGTAATGAAGGCAACGTTCACAGGGATGACTTTACAAGGGGAGGGCCTATTTAACAGACATTGTCTCCTATGGGAGGGATAAAGCAAAGACAGATGGCAGATGGGAATTTTTTAAAGTGCTGAAGTGGCATCAGCTAGTTAGAAGGTATCCTAACCTCTGGGACATATTGTGCTACTGTCCTTTGTGGAGTATGATCTCTGGAGTAAAATTTTCCTGTGGGGGAAAAACACTGAGGCATACCACAACACCAGTATCCCTTGCAGTGGAAAATATTTAGATCTGCATTTCTGAACTAGATCTAATAGCAGCGGTGTACCTGTATGCTTAATAAACCATATTTCAGTCTGATAGCATTTGCTTTTACTTATATGAAATATTTCCTCCTTTTTCTCCTTGGCTCAAGTTTTTCCAGAGGCCCCTTTTGCAGTAATGTAGGTAGAGATATTTATCTGCTCAGAAGTCCAGAGTCTGTCTGAACTCTGGAAAGAGAAGGGCTAAAGGGAATGAAGAGCTGAAGAGCTGTGAAGGAAGTTAAGAGAGCTGAATTTGCATTCCTTCTTTTTTTTCGAGCATAAAGTTAGAAAAGGATATCCTCAATCTGTTTAGTTCTCGGATATTGCACATCTGATGTTTTTTCTCCTGAACCAGCAAACTTATCTTCTACCTAATGAGCAACTGCCTCCTGCATGCCCTTATAGCAGCAACTGTCCTCTTGACTTTCTGAAACTTCAGAGGAATGAAGCAGGTGGAGCTCTAGGTACTTCCCTGACCATGGCTGTTAGGTGTATGCAGTGTCCATGTTTAAAGGCAAGAGTTCTTCACAGCTGAAAGAGCCCAAGAGTCAACAGTTAGCTTGGAGCAGAGAGTTCATCGGTCCTTCATCTTAAATGGTTTATAAGTATACACTATAGTATAACAAATCTGTGAGAAAGCCCTTTAAGTAGCTGACAAAATAGTTACTTTCTGTTCATGAGCTTATAGGGAACTTTCTTTTTCTGTGGTGCTGAGGATCATTACAACGGAACAGATCACATATTCCATCTGAGATGGCCTCACAGCCATTTTTTTCAGCTGTTTTCCAGTTCACATGCGCTATGCATGTCTATAAAGCAGGAATGCCTCAAGGTGTAAGCCCTGCTAGTGTCAGTGAATCTTCATCAGCAAGAGTTTGGTTAAGCTGCTTTTACAGCTTAGATGGCTTCAACAAGCACCTGAGAATGAAGACATTCTCATTTCTCCATTGCTCTTGAAATCAAAGTAATGCCTTTTGTTTTTAAAAGGAAAACAAAAAAGCAAAAATACTTGATAATATTGACTCCCTTGTTGGCAGTCTCTGTGGATGATTGAAAAGACTCCAAGCCTCAGCTAGTCTAATTAAAGCATTACCTCCTTCCACAGGTCTTGCATTGTATACTGAAGCAGGCTTTCTCCAATGGGGGTGATCTCTCTCAGGTAGCCCTGAGACTAGCTGAATTACAGATGGGTTTAATAAGATGGGAATAATTACTGAATTTGCTTACTGCAGTTGTCACTTCAAAGTCTTTCACGGCATTCAGTGCGTGTGCCAAAACCTCAATTTTTTTCTTTCAAAATATGTTTCAAATTAAATAATATATGTTAACTCTAAGTTCTATTTAGAACTTAGATACAAATTATGTATTTCAACCACCTCAAAATTTTTTGTGGTTTTTTTTTTTTTTTTTAGTATCCCAAATATCATTTCACTGTTTTCTTCTGAAGTGTGTAGTAGGCTTATATCTTCTGGAACATTATTCTGCCTAAAGAGTAAATTTTCAAAATTCATGTATACCAGATACAGTATAGAAGCAAAAGGCCACAAGTTTCTGCTGAGAGTTTTTTTTTTTTTTTTTCATAAATTTGGAAACCCTAGAGAGTAGAAATGTCTATGTCATCAGATGATATATTCAGATGCCACGTAGTTTCTTTCAATTATACTTGTGTTAAACCACTTCTTTTCTGTTTGGCTGAAATATAAAGAAAAGCAATCCGTCTTGAAATGAAGTCCTCAAGAGATTGAGAACTGCCATTTCCCTCAGTAATTTATGCTGAGGGCTGATAGCTCTACTAGTGGCATATCTGTGCCTTTATTTTTAATATCTAGATATTTTAAAAGATTTTTCTCTACTAAAATATCAATTTCCTATAAATAAGAGTTGCTGTTATATTTTTCCTGGAGGTGTTTCAATTTTTCAATGAAATAATCTCAGTCTTTTTTTTTTTTTAATGATCTAAGTAAACTTGCCTTGTTAATTATTTACTCTCCTTGCATTCATTTTGATTTTGGGGGTATTCTGTAATCTCTCTTCAGTCTGTCAATGTTTGTTTTGATGTGTGGACTTCAGAATGAGGTATGCTACTCCATGTTTTTTTTCCACATTTGTTTTACAGGTACATAATATCTACTTTCTTGAAAACCATTTGCTGCTCACAACAACTTTTCTGGGTGTGTTGGTTTGTCAGTCTTTCTGGAAATTGTACCACTTCTGTATAAATGACTTGCTTTAGGCATTACAAAGTTGAATGTACTGGTATTTGCTGCAAGCAACTAATCCAAAAATTGTGCTTTCTGTGGACAGAATCTAGCATGCCCAGGGACATCTATTGACTTTAATGAGGCTTTATACAAGACCAAATATCTTCCCATGTGGAAATCCATGAATCAAATTTAAAACTATTCAGGACTAGTAATAGAAAAGAATGAGAGTAAGGAAAGTTGACTATGCTGATAAAGTTCTCTGATAGGCAGCATTATGGTTCTTCAATTTTTAAGATTAATGTTTCTTTTGTTTTCTTTCTGTGTTTTTTCTTTTCTTTTTTTTGTGTCCGACTAGTAAACAAATGTCTGTCAAGCTTCTGTAAGAAAAGATGCAATAGAACTGGAGGACAAATTCTGTAACAATTATAGTTATGATACGTGCCCCATTGATTTCACTTATTTTGAAAAATGTATGTCAACTAAAGCTAAGGATTTAATAGTAACACTGCATTTTCATTTGAAATCTTCCATTTTCATTGGAAACTTTATTTGAAAGTAGAAATCAATTTGAATTCAACTACTCCTCTCACCTTCAATTTCCTGGGAAAGGAGAACTTAGAAAAATAATGTGAGGTTGTGTGTAAAATTTAAATCAATTTTCTAAACTTTTCAGATCATTTAAATCTTTATTTATATTTTTATAATTATTTTTATAACTTTTAAGGTTTTCATAACTGAACAAAATTATTCTGATACTGACTTTAAGCTGTTAGGTTTCAGCAATATATGGTTCAGACAATTGAAAGATAGTAAGCAAAACAGCAAAACTCTTTTTTTACTTTTTTGTGACTATCATTTATTTTGCTTCAGACAACAGGAATGCTGTATGTACAGAAGCAAGCCGGAAAAAAATGAAATAGGAAATTGCATTTCCTTCACCACAAGATTTAAGAAGTTGGTAAGATTCACTAATGGAAAAAGTGAAAATTACTTTAACTTTTTTAGCTTTAAATAAAGCTGTTTCTCTGGAGTACCTCTGAGGAATAGTTTCTCTTTCTGAAGCTGCAGTTCATGTCTGCTACGGACTCCATTCCCTACTGCCCATGACAAAATGAAGCAAGTATTGAAACATCTTGCCAGTCTGTATTTTTATTGCCCTCTTAAAGAAGAGAGGCAATGCTATTATCACACTACTGAAAGTAGGAACAAGTTGGTTGTGATTCTTACAGTTAAAATTCACTCATTTGCCAAAATCCTTAGCTTCAAAATATGTTCACTGAACCCGTGGTCTGCAATGAAAAGTACATTTCTTTTCCTTTGATTTAGGAGATCCCAGGAGATTTAGAAATTCTCATTTATGGTATTCAAAGTTGTTAACCCAAACAGTAACTTTACTGATAAGCTTATCTACTGAATGAGGCCTATTGTTTTCAGGAACTGATCATTAGAGACGACACTGCTAAATTCATAATGGGACATCATAAAAGTACAACTGCAATGCATTAGAAGTTGTTGTAAATGCAGAAGTACATCAAATTAAGATGGATATGGAATTAAGTGGAAAAATTAAGTTTTTCATTAGTATCACTAGTGATGCACATTAAGAATCTGGGATCACCTTGGTAGCATTGCAGAATCATAGAGTCAAAGAGGTTGCAAGGGACCTCCTGAGACCCTGCTGCCAAAGCAGGTTCCCTACATCAAGTCGCACAAGTAGGTATCCAGGAGGGTCTTGAATATCTCTAGAGAAGAAGACTCTGTAACACATTACCACAACATATGGATATGGTGTATGTAACTAAATCAAACCAATTTTAAAATCCTCAAGAAGACAGAATTTGTAACAGTATCTTGTACTGAAGCTTAAGTTTAATTTTATAAACATGTTTATATATTAGTGAAGAGTCTAAATTTGTCTCCAAAACTGTCAGTTTTCTTCTGTGCTGCTTCTGCATACACTTACGAGTTTTCTGGTCAGTATGCATGCGGGACAGCTCGCATGACTGGAATGTTGTCATGGAGGGCTATGTGCTTTTTAAGAAAGATCGGCTGGTGAGGCAGGGTGGTGGAGTTGCTCTTTATGTAAGAGAGCAGCTAGAATGTGTTGAACTCCACTTGGGGGAGAGTGGTGTAGCAGTGGAGAGCTTGGGGGTAAGAATCAAGGGGTGGGCTGGTATGGCTATGATTCTGTGATTCTGTGATGTGTTTGCTGAAGGCTAGGTGCTTAAGAGATTGGACATACAAGAAACAGAATGATTGTTCAGAGATTTTCGTATCTTGTTCTAGCAACAGCCACTGATAGGTGCTTCATATTTACTTAATGGTGTGATAATATCATGCAGATATGATTGTCCTTATGCTACACATCCCTGACTGAGGAATACTGACTCATCGCAATTGCTAATACTTAAGCTATAATGGGAGCTGCTGGTTAGTGTTAAATCCTTTTTTGTGAGTCTTTCAGAGTTAGTCCAGTTTTAGGAAGAAATGCCTGCACTGATTTCAAATTAGTTGCATCAAAGGCACAGAGGTGCAAAAGCCAGATTTCACTTGGAGAACTGGTGATGATCCTAGCGTGTGACTTCTAGCGTCATTTGAATTTACCTCTTGATTGTGTCAACAGAAATGTATCATCAATCTTCTAAAATCAAGAATATATGTACAAAACTGACTAGGTACTTTTCTATCTTTAACATCCTTAAGAACATATGATATAAAGTTGGAAAATCAAAAGTTATATATTAATGTACCTATGTAAAAAATAGATTATAAATTCAAACTTGACTGTAGACAGCTGGTACTTCCCTTTGATAGAGTTGTTGTTAGTGGAAATAACTGTTGTAAGTGTTTGAATTTTCTTGATAAGCAGTACAGGAATTGTGGAAAGCTGAAAAAGGCACACAGTAAGAACTAGATGAAAACCTAACTAGACTTCAGTAAGAAAAAGTGAATGTTTTTCAGCGATTTGGTTATGTTTCTATTTCCCACTGAAAGCAAACAAATAGTTTCCATGTTTTAGTAGAACACAATTCAAATTCTTGTTCAAGTTGTACTGAATGTGGACAAACCTGCTTATTGTTAAGCAATGTTCCTAATGAATGGCATTCTATGTCAATATCTGTACACTGCACCTACAGACACAGCCTCAGTTAACTTTTAATTGCTTTGTTACCAGGCAAAGCGTAAGAGGTTGATGTTCAGATTCAGTAAAATAAAGTCAAGTTCAAGTGGATTGGAAGGCAAGGGAAATGCTAGTCCACTTCTCTAGGTGTACTTATTTTCCTTCTGGCAGATGTTCATCTGGCCTATTGCTGGAAATCTGTAAAGATGAAGACTTTCAAACAATTTATGCTCTGCCTTGCTATTTTTCTCTTCCTGTATGTGGTCTGCCCTGAAATCTTGCTGCAGTATACTTCTTTTTCTATCTTGGAAAGGAGAAAATAGTATTTTCTTTTCTCTTTGAGATCTACTGCATACTTTGAAGCCATTGATCTACCTTTTCTCTCAAAGCCAGACAGGCTATATCCAGTCTAGCTCTCTTCTGAGTTATGATGTCTGATGGCTCTTGTTGCTCTCTTCTGAACTTCACTGAAGAGATGCATATTTTTTTCTGAGGTGACAGCTCAAAACATGGGAAAGGCTCTTTGAGTTCTAAATGGTGAGAGAGAGGATTTCCCACATCCTTTGGGTTATTCTTGAAGTTTGTTGGTATTGAAATTCTGAGCATGTCCTGAAGCTTATGTAATACCCTAAATCTGCTCAAACGCTACCCAAAAATTGTTCCATTCTGTATTTCTGCAATTAAACTCCGAAGAGTAGTCATTTCAAATGGTATTAATGACCTTTTTCATGGTTTTAATGACCTTTTTTTCCTCTTTAGTGAGGAATAACCAAAATGATTGACAGTGCCTGATCCTTATGATAATTAAGTTGATTTGACATGCTTTGTTCACTTATATCCTTGTGATTCCCCCACATTCTTAAAATGTGGTGGGGTTTTTTGTGTTTGTTTGTTTTGTTTTTGTGTTTGTTTTTTTTTCCCAATCTGGATAATCCTGTCTTATTTTGCTAGATGTGTTATCCACTTGTTCATAAATGTTTTCTGGTTTGACTGTTCTGGATTCCCACTAGCATATATTTTTTTTATTTCCTTTTCATTATTAAACATATGCTTTAAAATTCCCTCCTCATTTCATTTATTTTTTTCTTTTAATTCTCAATATGGGAAGAACACTTCTATTTTCTCCTGTCCTTCTTAAAGAAACTATCCTTTCATCTTACATACTATTGTACGTACATTTTGGAATGCCATTTAAATAATGTTATTTTTGGAAAATAAACTCTCCTGTTTTTATTCCTAGTAATTCTTACATCCAAGAAATTCAGCAACTGATGATTTTTATCCTGCTTGTCTGTCCTCTGACCTGACTCATTAATAAATTACTGCAAAAATAATGAAAGTAGCAATGTTATCATAGTGTAATTAAACTATCGTATTTACCAAAGGACTGCAAGAAAACAATGCACAAGCATGTCAGTGGTAATATATACTGAGACAATCTGGCATATCAAGGACATGTCAGCTTTATTGAGCATGTCTTATATCCACTTCTTTAGGATTTAAAAATGAAAGTACACTTTCTTTTAGTGAGGAAAAGTCCAAATGGAGGGAAACCTTGGTATATGGCATTGCTGAAGTTCTACTTGTCTGCTGTAAGCACTGAGTAACACTTCAGAGAACCAGTTTGTAAACTCCAGAAGAAAGGTAGTAAGCATTTACTAATTAATCTAGACACTGCTTTTTTTTTTTTTCCCATTTTGAAAAAGATAGCTTTGAATCATCGCCCTCAGATTATTTGACATCAGATAATGTTGTTCTTCTGTAAGGAAATGCATATATTTTTATAAAAAGAATTAATTTTCTGTTTATGACACTGTGTGATGAATTCTTTAGAACTTTTTCTATTGGAATACTTTCTCAGGATTGGCTTTTCCTCGCTATCTTGCACAGTTTTTCTGCGCTTTCATAACTGCTCTTTTTCAGGTCCTTCCCTCTTCACAAATCAATTATATATATTTAGGGTGGTCAGTGAGGTTTAGAAATCAAGTCCTCCAGTTTTGGTTAAGATTTCCAAACCAAGCTAAATTTCATTTTCTATTGCTTTTGTGTAATTATATCTCCTATTTGTGGCAACAGTTTTAGGGTCAACCTGAAAAATTAACCCTTTTCTGAGCATTGTAGATGAAAATAGGAGATATGCTTATATGTTAATTAGATACATGAAAATGTTGTTATATGTATGTTTTAAAACATAGAAGATTTGATAAGAGATCCTGCATAAGGCCTTCTTTGTCAGTGGAGAAAGAGAAGACAAATGTGTAGAAGGTGACCTAGAGATAATGAGAGTTCAAGGACACAAAGATAGGTTATTTGTCAGATAATAAATTGTACAGGTGTCTCAGTATATTTATTAGTTGTTCAAATCAACTATAGAATATTTTGCAAGGCAAGGCAAAGCTTCCTTGATGAAATAAAAACTGTGCAGGATAAAAATTGATTTACTGTAGCATCAACACTTGAGCAGAATGTTCAGAAAAGGATCTAGATCAACTGTTTTATAATAAATAATGCAGCTAATCTGTATTGGCTTTTGATTTCGGGGGAATATCCATATTGGTAATTGCTTTTAAAAATCCATTAAATAAATGAAAAAATAACCAATATTCAATATTTTGTACTCTTATTAATTTTACGGATGTGTGAAATTAATTTCAAATGAACTTCAGTTTTTATTTCTCCTTCTCATGGCTTTTAACATATTGGAGTACATCTGTATGAATCCAGTGCTTGCTTGTATGTATTTTGCTCCATGTTTAGGAGAGTACAGATACAGCTGAAATGAATTTAAAAGTTGCTTTTATTTTCAACAAAATAGACAACGTTTTCATGTTGTTGTAATTGAGCTTGGGACTCAAAATATGGATTTGCAGATCCTTGTTCTGCTGTTAGGTGACTGGGTAGCAGTAGCAGAGGTTGACTTATTTACATGTAAGTTTCCCAGGGAAGTTGATGGAAAACTGACCGCAGATGAAGGGCTGTCAGTAGTTCTAAATGCATTTACATGATTCACAGTAAAAAGCTTCCAATACTGCAAAGATTTATATTTGTGTTTAGCATGCTTTTTTTTAGCTTGCCACAGGTGCTGATGGATTATTCCCTAATGGTGAAAAGAAGTTGTATCAGCTGTATATGAAAAATGAACTCGTCTAAGGAAGGAAAAAGGGAAGATATTTTGAAGACTGGAAGAGAATAGGAGGTTATGTTCATTAGCAATGTAAAAACAGCCTCTATCTATGTACGATGAATTAGAATGCCCCTCATTCAGATCAGTTCTTATAAAAATGATGGTTCAGGTCACTACTAAACTGAAGCACATTAACTTGATACATTGATTTCAATGCAGCTATGGTGATGCAGAGCTGGCAGAAAATTGGCTTGCCTCTGTGATATCAGGAGTCAGAGCCTAGAGCCAAATCAGCATTTAATCAGCTAGATTATAACTTCTGTGGAACTTTGATAGCTCAGCTCTTTATACTGATCCACCAAATCAGTCTGCTTAGATTCCTGTCATCCCAGTAGGCTTACTTGTGGCCACTGATATTAAATAGCTCCCTAAACTGTGTATGTATGTAGACACTATTGTTTAAGACAAATGTAGCAACTTATTTTTTTTCTTACCTAGAGCCATGAAATCATGTTGGAAATGTAACTAGAGAGATTTTGATGAGAAGCAGTTAATTTATGTGAAACAACCAATATGCCTCACAGATTAAAAAACCACGAAAATAAAGATTTCCTTCCAAAAAGGTTCTTTAATCCAAAATTAAAATGGAAAAAATGCTCATTTGTGCCAGCAGGGTGTTTGGCTCCTTCTAAAGAAACTTACAATGACCCATTTTTTTTGTTCTAATAGATTTCATTTATACCTTAGGGGGATGTTGGACATCATTGTTTTCCTTGAAACTCCAGTCAAAAAATATTAAAGGAAGTTCAAAAATAATGCCCTTAGCAGGCAATTAAAAGAAACACAGACAATGCTTTACTAAGGTACATGTCCTTCCTCAGAAATAAGAAGGACAAGTTCTTAACAGTCTGAAGAATTCCTTGATTGTTATAACCTGAAATAAAAAGCTGAGAAGCCTCTGTCACACTCACAATTATACAACTGTTGGGGTGAGTGGAAGGGGAAGAGTATTTCTGTATGCTAGTTAGAAAATGATAAAAACAAAGTATCAAGGGGGTAATTTCTTTACCTGTTGCCTTTTGATTCTCTTTGCATTTCTTTCTGTAAAGTGCTGTTGTGACGACTGACTCACAGTGTTTTAGCAATTGTTCAGCTCTTTTCCCTAGAGTTTTGAAGTCTCATTTTCTCCACTTTCTATGTATAGCATTGCCTATCAGTCTTCTAAATCAAAAAAGGCTATATTGCTCCTATTTTCTCTGTTGCAATATTTTCTTGATCTGTGATTTGACTGCTTCTAGCTCCTTCTGTTTAGTCAATTCCTTCTTTATAAAGAACGTTGACTATTATATTTAATTTTTGCCTCCTTCTGATGTTTTAGTGTGGATGATAGCACTATACAATCAGAGACATACAGAGGGAAAGCAGGGTTAAGGGAAGGGAATGCAGTGTACTGTACTACAGTATAATACAGACAACTGAGAGAACAAAGAAATCCATGCTAAAGAACAGCATTCATATCTTTCAATTTCACCCTCCATATTTTTTTTAGTGCTGCTGAGATTATCTACTTATTGGAGCTAAATGTCAGCTAAAAAACAAAATTATAGAATGCTCAATTTTCATTAACATCTGTACTAGTGAAACGAGCTTGGAAAAAGGATTTCTAATGGGCTGAGAAACAGTGCTTTAAAAAGCAACTGCAAGTTGCTTTGGGGCAAAGGTGTGTATGTGGTCAGAAGAAAGCAGAGAGATTTTTCTTATGGGTGCTGAATGATAGAAAAAAATCAGCAGCTCTGTCAATGCAGTATGCTGTGTATGCTGTCTGTAATAAAATTTGAAAGATGTTTCACATTATAATCTGTAGCTTCAAATTACTTAATTGTACCATTAACTCTATAACCTTGCTTTAAAAGTAACTTATGGCTCATGAAATTCATTTGAAAGAAATAATTCCAGAAACTTTTTTACAAGATGGTTTTCAAAGTTTTCCTCTTGCTATTAATTGTTATTTAGTTCATCAATATATATGACATGACACTACATTTAATTATATTAATTATATATAATAATTCTGATTAAAGACATACCATTTTCATTACTCAAAAAAGTCATTTCATTTAAGAAATGAAAAACATCAAGGTGAAAGAGAAGGACATCAAAGAAAAATAAGACAAAGAGGAAATGTAGAAAGGAATTGAGGAAGTGAGACAAAAAAAAAAAAAAAGAAAAGATAGGAAGCAGCCAAGAACAGAATCTTTTTTTCCTTGGCTTCTTTATTTAAAAATATTTTCTTTGTAGAGAGAATGACAACTGTGGGCCATTGTGAGAGGACATTCTGCTTCTTAAGGGCAGCACTGACAACATGTCTTCATGCATGTATACTCCAGGGTAGAGTGGATTTTTTGAACTCTAAGGTTAGCACCAAGATAAGGTAAAAGAATAAATAAAGTTATTATGGCACACACACAGCAGAAGTTTTATATTCTCAGCCACTTCTATTGCAGTTCCAGAAGAAATACAATCAATGTCACTATACCCAGATAGATGGGTGCTCATTACCTAACACTTCAATTATGATAAGTGGATTGTTTGTAGAGTTTCATGGAAATTTGTCATATAGAAAACTAGTTCATGTTTTTCAATAATGATGCAACAACAATTGATTTGAAATTGTGCTGAAATGTATACTTTGGGTTTTTGATTTCCAAGTATGCATTTCATTACAGCTTTTCCCCGTGGCTTTTTTTCCCCATGAGGCAGTCACTATTAAAATTAGCTTTTTTTTCAGATAGAAGTAAATGTGTACACCCTTCCTTCATTTTTATTTATAGCTTTTTAATTATTATTTTTAACAACATGATGGAGTTTAATAATACGATTGGTAACAACTTTCTACCAGGACATTTATAGTAATATAGACTATATCTGCTTGAAACATACTTTTGATGGTAAAAATGAAAGATCCTCTGACCTCCTAGGATTCTCAAACTGCCCTCAGATAGATACTATACTCCACCACATTCACTAAAGCTACTTTGCCAGAGTGGGTCCTCATAAGATAGCATGATGTAGAAACTAGCTTCACAAGACAAACCTTGCTTAATATCACTGCTATGTCAAAATTTTCCATGGAGAATGGATGTTATGAAGTTACCTTCTTTCCTTGAGTCTGTTAGCAAAGTTTTGCAGCAATCATGACTTACATGACTTTTTTGTTGTTTATATCTCTTACATATCAACTTTTTTAGTAGAAATAAAATTGACAATGAGAGCATCACAGCCTTACACCAGTTTGTAGGTATCAATAGCAGCAATATTTAGCATTTCATATTTGTATGTGGGCTTTTTTTCCCCGATTGTTCCCTCCGTTTTAACTTAACAAGGGGTCTTGGGTAAAAAACTGCTGCTGTCTTAAGATGGATGATA